CATATATGTTCAGGCGATATGAATCGTCCTTCAATTGCCGCTCTATGCGGATCCATGGACGCCAAAGCATCGCGATATGCAGCGACTGTACGGATACAAACCGGGCGAAATGAAACCATAGTTGATTTACCAAATATGGTGAAGGAACTGTTAAAAACCTTTTACCAAACTTGCGCCCGTAAACCCGAAAGGGTATTATATTATCGCGACGGAATATCAGAAGGGCAATTTTCCAGAGTGATGGATCACGAACTTAAAGCAATAAGATGTAAGGTTAACGAAAATATTTTTATAGTATTACAGTTACTAACTTGTTGCATATTATTATTTCTTTGAACGTTTACTCAACCAAATTTAGCAGCCTGCAGGGCGCTAGAGCAAGATTACGAACCCACCATTACGTTCGTTGTGGTACAAAAAAGACACCACACCAGATTCTTTCCCATGGATAGGAGAGAAGCAGATCGTAGTGGGAATTGTTTTCCCGGCACAGTAGTTGATTCTGGGATAACACATCCTTTTGAATTTGACTTTTGTGAGTTGCTCGATTTATTTTCTTGTCCTTGGAAATAATATTGAATTAAACATCTATGAATTCATTTAGTTCTTCAAAGTCACTCTGGTATTAAAGGTACTTCCCGGCCGGCGCATTATCATGTTTTATATGATCAGAATGGCTTTAATGCCGATTCGTAAGTTATCCTTTCGCGTCCAATGATTGCTTTTTACTACAAAATTTGAGCATACATCTTATTATTTTTTTTTATAGGTTACAAACACTCAGTTACAACTTGTGCTACCTTTATGCCCGCGCCACACGATCAGTTTCGCTGGTATGTCTATGAAATTTTTCTAGACTCTCATATAGACCGTTTATTAACTGTTATCCACAAAAATACCTTAGGTACCTCCCGTGTACTACGCGGATATAGTATGTAGTCGTGCGAGATTTCATGCACGGGGTGCACACTGGAGTGATACCGAATCTTCGGAAGAAGTGGGTGCGAATAATTATGCACCCGTGAAATCCGAATTACA